TTTTTTTTTTTTTTTTGTTGTTGTTGTCTACAGACAAAGATGGCAAAATTTCAGAGATGTGGGGAAGTGAAGCAATGATGCATGGACAAAGAATTTTTGGAGGAGTAGCAAATTATTTTCATGGGAAGAAGACATAAAGAAGGATGCGTGGGACTCGAAATTTGAAAGATTTTTCCCTTGAGAGTTGAGACCTAACTGGAAAATGTGTGAGATAGATGATTTTTTATTGGGAAAATGATGTGTGCACATCCAAGTGTTGAATTCGGGTGTGCACCAATCATGATCCTTTCTTATTGGTGAACTATTTTCAATAGTTTTAGATTTGTAATCAAAAAAAAAAAAAAAAGAAACAAAAAACGTATGTGATACATTGTATTACTTGGAGGTTTATTTTAGATTTGTTGTAATTAGTTTATTGTCTATCATCACAGAAGGTGGTCGGCCACAAAATATAAAATATAAAAAACCAAAGAACTGTAAAAATTAATCTATTAAAAGAAGTCTTTACTTTTAATATTTTAGTTAAGGTTTTAATTTATTCTGAATTAAAATTTAAAATTAATTTCTAAGTTACAAAAGTTAAGGGATTTACTTTTGAATATGAATATTTCATTTAAAAAAATTATTTTTATTTATCAATCATGTTTTAAAAATTTTTTATTTTCTGAAAAAAAATGGAAAGAAAATTCTTTAAAAATAAAAGAAGGAAAATAGAAAATAGAAAGAATTTTCTGTGTGTAACAAGTACACCTTTCAAGGCTCGGAATTTAACGTTACAATACCCTGAACAGATGTTTCCAAACGTGCCCTCAAGTTGCAAATACTTCAGTTTGGTGAAAACTGAAAACAATGCCATCCTTCGTGTCATCATACAAACATGCCACCATAGTCTCATTTATGCTTTAAATGAGATATAACAGAGTTCAAATAGTCTCTTTTTAATACCACAAAACACACGCATCAGAAAAAAAAAAAAAAAAAACAAATAGCCTCATGGAAATTAAATACTGAGAATGCATATCACACATGAATTTCAAAAATAGAAAGAGATCAGTTCTAGCAAGTGAAATACTCCGGCTTATTTTGGGCGACAAGCGATGTGACAACTTGGCAACATTAAAATCCAGCTTATGAGTCCAGCCGTCAAAGTCTTAAACATACAGGGAATTAAGAAAGCCTTCTCAATATCGCTTCATATAATAAGAAACCTACATGAGACATGCAGCTGATGGAAGCAGAAAACGCACTCAACATCTGAATTCACAAAGGAAATAAATTGCAGTCACCTTAGAACCTCAATCTTCCTGAGAACAATCATCACTGCCTTCCTCATAACCATTATCATCTCCTTCTTCAGAACCATCACCAATTCATTCTCCAAAACCATTATCACTGCCTTCTTTAGAACCATCATCAGTCATCACTGTATTCTTCAGAATAGTCATCATCTTCTTCGTAATCATCGATACCGGATTCTTCAGAACCAATGGGACTGCCTTCTTAACTAATGAAAAGAGAAAAAATACTTATTGAAGATGAAGCAAAGGAAGTGCAGTAAAGAGGTCTATTACTGAAAATGCTTCCATTGTTTGCATAACAAAAAGAGAAAGATGTACCTTGTGGGTGATAGTACTTGCGATCCACTACCATTCAAGAGCCCTTGTGGTTCAGATATTTCTACAAGTGAATTACATTTTCCACAAAATTTTTTGAATTGGGGAAGGACCATAAGTTCTAAGACGTTTAGTTTGGGGAATGCCATCTGGCGCACCCTTTTTTCGTCTTCCCTGTCTTTAATCAGTATTACCACTTCCATCAGCTGACATTCAAAAATCTCAAGTACTTCAAGTTGCACAAAACTTTTAACCACTGAGGATGTTAAGAGATATTTCAAATTGCCAGAGTCTCGCACAGTCAACTTTCTTAAATTTTGAACTGATGAAGACATTGAAGAAAGTTCATCGGGCCATATTTTCTTTACATTAATGGAGCACAGATCCAAGGTATCCAAGTGAGGAATCTCAACCTGCAAAGAAGCCCCAAATTCATTAAAACCATTATTCTTTTTGCGTTTTTGTTTAATTGAACATTTACAGTTTTGTGGGGAGAAGGGGGATTTGAACCAAGATTGCAGCCTTGGGGACGCATCTTTTAACCAAATGGGCTGATAGCCCAGGTGCTAAAATCATTATTCTTTAATCAAAGAAAACTGAGCAAGGATTATCTGGAACTGAAAGCGTGCACATGGATTTCATTGAATAACGATATACACATAAATATTCTCATGAAAAATTAGAAAGAAGTGTTTAGTTGAAGAGGAACCTGGATTAATTTTTGTATTTTCCCATTGTAATGAAATCCCCCTTTTTTTTTCTTTTTTTTTTTTGGGAAAGCAATTACTTTTATTATTGAGTACAAAGCTAATTGAACCCGTACACACCAACAGGGGCAGACCAACATTAAAGAAGGGGTTAGGCAAAAGTTTTACCTCGCTTCTAATAAAAGTTTATAATTTTAAAACTTTGTTAAGTATAGGTCCTATCTATTAATATAAAAATAATACACAATACCTTCTAATTTTAGACTTTATCAATTAAAAAAAAAAAAGAATGATTGATAGAATTCTAATTCAATAAATTATATAATATATTTATTAAAAAATTATTATTTTTTATTGTGAAATTAAATACAAACAAATTTAAAAATATAATCATGTATATATCATATAAAAACTAATTGAATTAATTATATTTATATTATATTTTAATAATTAAACTAAATAAGTTTTGAAAAATATATCCAACCAAGGCTCTATCAATTATTTTCTTAAAATATACAATAGACCCTACCCGGTATAATTGATCCCGGATTCACCCCCGCACATCAAGGTACAACTCTACCACTTATTGTACACTGGAAATGTCCGTTGTTACCACTTCTACTGTCTTGCAATTGCTGCTCAACATAGTAAATTGCACTACCATATAGATTAAATGCATATGTATTCTATATAACCTTTTAATTAACTTATGTGCATCAATAAATAAAATATTACAATAAGTATATTTTAACAAACACACGTTGTTGAAGAAATAAAAGAAAAAGAAAAGAAGGAAAAAAACTGACCTTGCTGCTAAAGAAGTACTGGAATGCCTCTTCCTCATGCTCTCCCAAGAATGTAGATGCAGCAAATGTAAGTATTTTTGGGCAGTCTTTTAAGTAAATATGGTGTAATTCAGGAATCCTCAGATTTTGGCTTCCCATATAGAAACTTGTCATGTCCGAACAAGACTCCAGAATAATTAACCATAGGTGTGGGAAGATGATTTGATTTTCCGGCTCTTCTCCCAGTATCACTTGTTTCATTGTTCCACAGTTTATAACCTCTAATTTCTTGAGTTGTACGAAAGCCAAGGCCAAGGAAGGCGTTAACAGGTATTCGAAGTTACTACAGTCACAAATTTTCAGATCTTGAATTAGTCCAAAATGCAACATTTCTTGACTCTTTTCATGCCATGATTTCATCACTTCTGGAAAGTCAGACAGTAGTAAATTCTGTAGCCCAGCATATCCATCCTACAAGTGAAATTCAATGTTGGTTATAACACAAAAATCCATAGATATATAGTAGAAGTAAAAAAAAGAACTACGGGATTCATGTTTTATTGGACGGATTATACGTTAAAAGTGTAATACACATTATGAATTTATTAAAACACCCTTAATGAAATAATGGATACCTTTAATGAAATAATATAAGAATTAGTTTCATTAAGGGTATTTTAATAAATTTATAGGGTGAATTACACTTTTAATGTCCAGTCTATCCAATATAACACTTTTTCAATAACTATAATAAACAAATGAAAAAGTGTTTCATTGGTTATATAGCATACTAAAAGTGCAGTCTGACCTATAAATTTATTAAAATACTCTTAATAAAATTACTTTTTATGTTATTTCTTTACTATTATTTTAATAAATAGGTCAGATACTATATATTAAAAGTGCAGTTCAAACTGTGAAACATGAATCCCATTAAGAAATATGTAGGTTCAAATATTTAGAAATCACCTCATACCTTTTCTATGTACATTTGTTCTATGGTTGTATTTAGGTTATCTGCCCAGCGCCACTTATCCTCTCCTGCTATTAATTGTACCCTCTTCAGCGCTGGCGTGTCCAGTTTATCTCCCTGGCAAAATTTCATCAATTGTGGACACTGATTCACTATTACTTGTTCCAAAGATGGGAATTCGAAGTTGGAATTCCCTGAACAGAAGCTCGCTAGCTTTGTCAAACCTTCAAGTTTCAAATATGTTAATTTGGGGAAATTGATCGAATCTTGTTTTCCATCTCCTTCGTTTCCAACTATTTCAGTCAGCTTGTGACAGTAACTTACAATCATACCTTTTAGATTCACTAGACTTTGAGCAGTCGAGGTTGAAACCAAGGTTATCATCCATTTGCAATGTGATACCTCCAAAGTGGTGAGAGTCCGGAAAGATACCGTTGATGTTGATAAGATAATCAAGGTTTCACAGAAATGCACTGTAAGAGCTTCAAGATTTCCAAGAACACTTAATAAGTCATGCTTTCCAAGCTTGGAATAGTCAACCTGCGCATGTAATTGATTAATCTTGTAATTAAAATTAAAATGAGAAAACGATAATTAGCTGGTTCAATAATTATTAGCTATCAGTTATACTTAAACCACTAATCCAAACAGCCCTTAAGCATAAATTTGAAATCCAATGACCTAAACTGAAATTATTCAAACCCACTTGTGTTGGATAAAGGTTAGATCAAGTCAACTTGAAATGACTTGACTAAATTAATTAATTTTTTAAAATTTAAAATTTTGTTTAATTATATTTTTAATTTTAATTATAAATATAAAATTAAATTAAATACTATATAATAATAATTATTTATTAAATTATTAGAGTTAATATTAATTTAGTATTTTTTTAGTAAAAAATTAATTAATATTAAATTTTTAAAAAATTTAGAGAAAATATTGAAAATTTTTATTTTTAATTTTAATTTTTCAAAAAATTAGATCTTCTCAATCTAAAACGTGGGTGAGCCATGAGTTTATCCTCTTTAACTCTAAATCTGAAATAACTCAACCCACTAAACTCAAAATCCAAGGTAATTCAATCCAATTCATTTGATCCGATTTGTTTGCCAACTCTGTAGTTATTGTGTTTGGTTTAATTAAAGAGTGTGGAATTTAATTGTAGACTTGTAAATCATGAAATTAGATAGACTAATTCAAATCATAGGTTTCACAAATAGTGAAGGTTAGGAAAAATTTTATATTTAACTCAATTCTATGTTTATTTTGAATAAAAAAATTTTGTGAGATTCAATTGTGTTTCATACTCAAGTTTTTTTTTTTTTTTTAATAAAAAATACCCTCATTATTTTTGAATCAGGGTGAGAGAGTTCTAAATAGAAGAGTATTTAGTAATCATTAAAAATATAGACTTAATTGCCTTCATTAGAATTATTTACCAAAAAAATAATTAAAATTGATAGAATTTTAATTAGCCTATTTAAATATTTAGGAATTATTTTGGTTAAAAAATTTAGAATTGAACTCCATACTTTTCAATCAAATCAAGTATAAGTGAAGCCAACAACCCAATTGATGCAATAATAACCTCCTTCTAATAAAAATAAGAGAAGTGAAACATAAAATAAAAAGATAGATAAAAAGATGAAAGGTGGTTACATCTAGTAATATAATCCAAAATAATATACATATATATAAAGTGTATAATTCATTAAATGAATTCTACAAAATTTTAATTCAATCAAACACAATCGTGTGAATTGAAATCATTAAATTAAATTAAAAATTTTTGTAATTAAATCAAATACAATAGATTTAAAAATTGCATTCCACACCTTTTTTACAGAATAAAAGTTTGCGCCCTCCATTATCAAATTGGAATCAGGTTGAGTCCTTTTTAATACTCCTATATTTTTCAGCTTTTTGATGAGTAATATATTTTTCTTTTAAATATGTCTAACCATCTGCGCTTTTTAAAAAAAATTAAAGTAGCTCTTTACAAGTTTTACAAAAATGTAAAATGCTAAAACTATTGGATTGCTAATAAACCTAGCCCAAACTTGAAACCCAGTTGATCCCCATATAAAAAAGAACAGTAAGATTAACATTTTATATTTTCTAATTACTCTTCCGCAAAGAAACAAAAAATGAAATAAAATAAAGGAAATGAATTAAATACCTTGTCATTGAAAAGTGACATGTTGCTGCAACTGCTACTGGTGAAGCTACTCAGTTTTGGCAGATCTTTTAATGTTAAGGACCGCAGATTGTTGCCAAGCTTACATCCTTCACTTTCTTCAACGATATCGTTTCCGTTGCCTTGCTCGTCCACGTCATCAATAATCTCTGCAATGTTGTCGCAATTTTCTACTGTTATTTCTTGAAGTTGAAGCTGTCTGGCCATGGAGAAGGAGAACAGATTCTTCAATTGATGACAACGAACAACAGTTATCTTGCTTAATACTTTAAAAGGTGCTGCTCCAGTCAGACCATGACATATCTTCTCCATTTTTTGCAAATTGGAAAGGGTCAATACCTCCAACATGGGAAATACCTGGGAATGAAGCAACCTCCTTGCCGGGTTAAAGATGCCTCGAATGTCTGGAGCGTTTTGGACATGGAGACACTTCAGATGTTGAAAACCTTCATCATCTAACTCATCAACTAAACGCTGGACACCCTCTAGATACAGTTCTTCTGTTTTCTTCAGCAACTTTTTAACAGAGTCATTAGATTCAATGCTTGCACCCTGCAGCTTTAGCTTCATTATTTTTGAGCTTTCAAAAGAGCTGTTCCAGGAGTAACTGTCCCAATAGTAATACTCCCAAGACTCCCTGCTCGCTATTCCTATGAAAATCTTGAACCTTTCCAAATTTTCAGGAAACAAAATTTCTCGGAAATTGGGAATACGTACCTCTAAAGCAGTGAGCATATGCAACTCTGTTAACTCAGCAAGCCCAGCATTTCTTCCCTCCACATCATCCCATTGGTCAAAGCTGTTTCCCATTTGTAGCTCTTCCAATTTAGACAATCTTGCTAGGACTTGTCGTGGAATTACTTTCAGTTTGGTGCAGTCACTCAAATCTAACAACTTCAGCTTGGTTAGCTTCTCCATTTCTCTTGGCAACTCTTCAATATCACAACCTGCAAGGCTAAGGACTTCTAAGTTCTCCAGATTTCCCACACTGGTGCCTAGGGCTTCGACTCTAAACACACATTGATCCAAAAGCAATGTTCGAAGCATTGTTGGGATCAGGGGAATTTCTGAGGGCATTGACTGAAAATCAATTCTAGTCAAACATAAGACTTTGAGCACATCTGTTCCAGTGAACAAATCAGTTGGAACAGCCAGAGAACAACCCTTGTTAGACAAATGAAAGAAAGTGAGCTGCGGACAGTTCAACCCATTGCTCGTGAGCTCAGGATAGCCATTTGACAAATAAATCCACTTCAAATTTTCCATTGTCTCCTTTTCTGGCCAGTCTTTTCCTCCATCTTCACCTACTAAAGCCAATACATTGTGGTCCCTAGAAGCAATTGACAGGGCAACCTCCCGAATCTGATCGTGCATACCAAAATGCATATTACTGTGACCATCAACCAACAAAGAAGAGAGTTTGAGACGGTGAACCAATGTCAGTACTTTGGTTCGTGTCTCCTCCACTGTTTTCGCCTTTGGAAATAAAGTCAAGCCCATACCATATTTTAACAAGTCATTGATGGAAGAGTCATGGCCCAGCAAGCTACAAAGCATGAACGTTTGCTTGAGTTCATCTCCTTGTAAGTACTTGTAGGACAACTCTATAGGCTTATAAACAGCTGCAGATATCCCTTCTGGAGTAGGCCTTTTCAATTCCATAAGAGCATCTTCCCACTCAAATTGTTGAGTCTTCCCTCTCATGGCCTTTCCAACAGTTACGATGGCAACGGGCAACCCGAGACATTTCTTAACGATCTCTTTAGCTATGGGTTGAAAATCAGAGCTTTCAACTTTGCTGCCAGCAATCTTCTTGAATAGATCCCATGCTTCATCATCTTCTAATTCAAGTACCTTAAAGACCTGATCTTTCTCATCCATCATACCAGAGAGAACATTCGGGTCTCTTGAGGTTAGTAGAATCTTGCGGAGCATATCTTCTTGTCCAGATGAGTGTTCTTCATTCCTTTTCTCCATAGCCTGCTTCAGCTCACTAGCAGAAGGTATTCCAACTTTCTCCAGATCTATTCCAGCCTCCCAAACATCATCCAAAATTACAAGAAATTTCTTCATTTCTATGAGCTTTGCCCTTATTCGATCTGCAACTTGTTCTGGTGGAAGTTCGGTAGGAAGCAGATCCATACCCAAGTCAAGTGCAATGTCACGTTGAATACTTTTCAAGTCCGGGTTCTTTGTCACTTCAGTCATAACTACCGCAGTAAACAAGCTGTCTTGCTTGGCTTTTACTCTAACCATTTTTACAAGCATCGTCTTCCCCACGCCAGAAGTCCCATGCACTCCGATCGTGTTGACG